CCGGTAGGGGAGGGACCATGGGGGGGGCGGCGCTGGCGCGGCCCGGAGGGGGCGGCGCGGGCCAGGCCGAGGTAGCGCTCCACGCTGAGGCACACCAGGAAGAAGACGCTGCTGTACATGCTGGCGAAGTAGAGGTAGTGGGCGAAGCGGCAGAAGAAGCTGCCCCAGAGCCAGGTGTAGTCCAGGGTGACCTCCAGCATCCACACGGGCAGGGACAGCACCAGCGCCAGGTCGGCCGCCGCCATGTGGAGGATGTACAGGCCCGGCGGCCCCGCCCGGCCCGCCCCGCGCCAGCTGACGCCGATCACCAGCAGGTTCTCCACCAGGCCCACCACGAAGATGGCCAGGTAGAGGATGAACAGGGCCACGCGCTTGGCGTCCTCGCTGAGCTCCGGGGTGCACCCGGGCAGCGTGTGGTTCAGGAAGTGCAGCAGCTCCGTCCAGTTGTGGATGTCGCCGAAGGTGTCGGGCAGCCCCTCCAGGGGGCCGGGCCCCGAAGTCCCCTGGGCCGACATGGGGACCGGCAACTACCTGGCCGGGAGGAGAGAGGGTTGGAAGAGAAAGGAGACCCCAGCCAGAAGCCGCGACCCCCAACCCAGGTAGGAGGCCCCTGGGGCCAGGGGACCTCGGGGAAGAGTCTCGGGGAGAGGCGGGGGGCAAAGTTCAGCTTCCGCACTGTGGGTACGTTGTACCCACTCGCCTGCCAGCTTTGGCCCCGGGCAGAGATGCTTTGTTGAGGTTCTCCACACTGGGGGAGACCAGAGCTCTCTGCACCCAGTGAGATTTCGTCCCAGCTCCTTTGGTTCCACCCCGTTTCCAGCCGCAGGTGGTCACCCCCCGTCCCCGGTGCTGCACCCCTCTGGCCTCCATGTGGGCTCTCCTCGGGGGGCTGCTGTGTTCGCCTCTGGGCCGTGGGTGTGGGACACACGCCAGCACATACGCGCACACTCCTAACTCCTCAGGAGCATCTGAGGCCCTGCAGGATTCAGGCCCCTGGGCCGAGCCCCCTCCCCTGAGAGGGCAGCACCCACCTGGGTTTCCCTTGGGGGCACTGGAGGGCGGGTCTGGGCTGCTGGCGCTGTGAGGAGGCTGCGGGTCGGTGGCCGGCGGCTTCGCTGTGGGCTTCGGGCCCCCCCTCATCCAGGAAGTTGCGCCACTGGCTGAAGCTCTGTGGAGAGGGTCTGTTTGTCCTGTTTCTCCAACCCAGTGAGAGGGGAAGTCAGCAGAAGAGCGGGTGGTGTGGCGGGAGGGGTGTGCGGGGGGCCGGCGCCTCCCTCACCACCACGTGCGCTTTCTCCTTGGAAACCACAGTTCTCTCCTCTGCAAAATGGGGACAACAGTGTCTATGAACGGGCTCGTCGCGGGGCGTGAGCGCCTCACGCACCAGGGTCTCCTCTCTCTGGGTCTTCCTCTCGCTCCCGGACTGCGGCCCCGGCTCCCTGGCGGGTGCCAGGCCTGGAGCTCGGCAGCCCTTAAGCTCCCGCGCTCCGTCCCCCTGGCCCGTCCCTCTCCTCCCCACCTTCTTTTTTTGTGATCTGAGGTGAGAATCTGGGGGTAAAGGCTGAATGTGGGGGGACGGGGACCTATCAGGGGCTGTCTGGGTAGAGAGGAGAGAAGACAGCTGTGTCCCCGGTGACTCCGACTTCTCGTGAACAGAGTGCGTGCGTGTGTGCGTGCGTGTGTGTGCGTGGGTCCGAGTGCATGTGTGTGGCTGTGTGGCTGCACACGTAGGTGCACACGTGTGTGTGCGCATGTGCAATGCATGTGTGCACGTGCACGTGCGTGTGTGCATTAGTGTGCACACCCGCAGTGTGCGTGTGTGTGTGCGTCTGCGCGTGAGTGTGTGTGTGAGTGCGTGAGTGGGCGCGTGTGCACAGGAGCGCGAAGCGAGCCTGCAGACTTGTGTTGCTGTCCACAGAGCTGCTAAGTGCATGCCCGCCTCAGTTAGCCACTTGATCCCTGAAGCACCGGGAGGAAAGACGGGTCCTCATCCTCTGCAAGGTCAGGGGGTCCTGCGGCTGCAGACCCCTGCTGGGCCCTTGTTTTGTAGGATGTAGGATGGAATTGTTGGTGGAGGGGGTTTGTTTTGTTTTAAGATTTATTTAATTTACTTATGCACACAAGAACTGGGGGACAGGCCGGAGGTGTGGGGGTGAGAGGACTCCCCAGAGACAGAGTGGGGAGCAGAACAGGCAGATCTGCTGAAAACCACTGCTGAGGGGGCAGCGGGGAGACAGGAGGGGTCTGCTGCGCCCTGTGAGTCCCTCCCTGGCGGGGGGTCGAACTCATGCTGCAGCGGCTGCGGACAGCTTGCAGTGCTGAGACTGAACCCCTTACGCCCCCAGGGAGGCCCTGGAGATTCGGTATGTGAATTTATTGCTAGAACTCCCATCACAATGTTAACCATTCTAAAGTGAACAATTCAGTGGCATTTAGTACGTTCACATCATTGTGCCAACTCTCTATCTAGTTCTAAAATATTTTCATCTCCCCAAGAGGAAACTAAGCACTCCTTCCCTGTTGCCGCTTGTCCCCCACACCCGGCAACCACCATTCTGCTTTCTGTCTCTGCGAATCTGCCTACGATATTTAATATAAGTGGAGTCATCGATTATTTTTATCCTGGCTTTTTTCCACTTAACATACTTTTATTATCTCTTCCCCTGCACTATATACACGGGAGCATGTTATCTGTATGCCATTCATTCCTTTTTGTGGCAAAGTAATATTCCACTGTATGGCCACACCACTTCTGTTTATCCATTCAAGCAGGGATAAACAGATTTTACTGATTTACTGTGATAAAATAAACATAGCTTCAAAGGCATTCACTCAGTACATTCACCAATTAGCATCTCCATGGGAGAAGCTATTCTTAATTTTGTGGTTTTCTTTAAGCCTGCTATAGGAAAGCTGTTTCTCTATTAGAGCCCCAACACCAAATGTGTAGGGTTCTCTCCCTGCCCCCACCAACCATTTTTCCAACTTTCCAGACACCAGCTGGGTGTTTGTTAAATTGAATCATTTAACTCAATTCTGACATCATCCACCTGGAACTGCATCAGACTCCACAGGTTTAAAGGTTCAACCCCACAAGCTTTCTTCACTTTGGATGGACAGGTCCCCAGCGTCTCTACACATCTATTCAGCATGGAGATAAACTTGGGGGTTCCCACATATCTTCCTTACTTTTGGGTAATTTACAGGAAACTTTGGGAAACTTTTCCTGCTTTACTATAGATTACAGATGATTAACCAGATTAAAAGAGGTACTTAAAGAGGGAGGGGGCTGGGAAGGGCCCTGAGTGTCTGTCCCCACGGAGTTGGGGTACACCCCGGCCCCATGTGGATACAGCGACCAATCTGGACACTTTACCAGCCCTGTCATTTAGGGACTTCATCACTAACTTGATCTCCAGCCCCTTGCCGCTCCAGGGAGGGTAGGTGTTGAGGTGGAAATTCTAAACTTCTAAGCAGGGCTTGGTCTTTCTGGTGACCAGTGCTGACCCTGAAGCTCTCTAGGAGCGGGCGGGATCCTCAGTAGAACAAAGCATCCTCTCCTCACCTCTAAGCTCCCAGGGATCCAGGAGCTCTGTGAGATGAGGCCACACCTCCCTCCCCAGGAGCTCAAATGGCCGGAGGAGCTCTGGAGGGCTGGGCCAGCTACAGATTTCTTATCATGTCACCCCTCAGGCCCTTTGAGGTGGAGAACCTGCCAGAAGAGCTGCGTGATGTAAACTCATCCATGAGTACTTGGCCTTTTCAGACAGCCCCGCTCGCTCCCCCGCCCCCTTCGGCTTCTCAGTTCCTATTTCTGGGCATCTTTGCTCCGTAGTGAGCGGCCTAAGGACCTTCAGTGAGCGGCCTAAGGACCTTCGCTGCCTGTCTGCGCCTTCACCCCTGCAGGTGGAGGCTGTGCGAAGCCAAGCACTCTCCAAACAAGACCCTGCCTCCCTCCTGCCTCTCTCCTCTCCCAGGGACCCCATCCCCACCGCAGGGACCCCATGCCGACCCAGGTGCTGTCAGCCCTTTCAGACTGCCTTGGGCTGCGCATGTGTCTTGGGTCTCCGAATCCCGCATGTGGGAAGCACCCCTGCACCTCACCTCCACCTGCAACCTGCCCCCCCCCCATCCAAAGTGTGGCTGTGCCAAGAGGAGATGACTGGCTCCTTCTGGCAAGGGCACAGGGTGGCGATGGGGATGCTGTTCGCTCAGGAAAAAGTGATCACTCAGCAGTTCTCACACGGTTGTTTTCTTGGTGGGGGAGGGGGTGTGGCGGGAGTGAGGCTGGGAGGTTGGGAGAAAGGGTGCGGGGCTCCTCGCCAGCCTTGGGGGCCTTAGGGGTGGGGACAAACAGTTGTGCTGTAAGCACAGGCGCAGCAACATTGAAACAATTCCTGGAAATTTACTTTCTCCTTCCTCCTCCCTCCACTTTTTTCAAAAAAGTGTAGACAAGACAAGACATTGCAATCAACATCAGAAAGGAAGGAAGGTGCCAGGGAGGGGATGGGAGGCACAGATAAAGGGGGACTGCTCCCTGTGTGGGTGGGGGGGCGCAGGCTCCTCTTGGCTCTGGAGGGAGGCATGGGCCAGCGCCCCGGAGTCCTCTTGTTTGCTGGCCTCGGGTGGTCAGGGCAGGTGGATTGTGCGCAGGTAAACGCCAAGGGTCTGAACGAGGTCCCTCCCATCCGCTGCCCTCAACTCCCACAAGGTCACGGGCTCAGACATCAGGTCTGCCAGGCCCCGCCTGGAGCTGGTCTGCCCAGCAGGGCTCCCCCGCCTTCCCGTAAGGGACGCGGACACTGGCCCTGTCCTGGGTGCTCTGCTCGGCTCTTCCCTATACACTCTTCGCCGAAACTCACCATTAGCACTGTGGACCAGCCCTGGCTTTGACAGTGTCTTGTCAACTGTGACAGGCAAATCGCAACACCCTCTTGTGAGTGTAAAGCAAAGCGGAAGCTCCTTTTCAGGTCAGTGTGTGGGACCCGGGAGGTGGCCTGTGGCCCGTGGCCGGCAGCAGCACGCGCGGTCTCCAGGGCGAGGAAGCTGCCCTTCTCGGGAGCCCCAGGCCTGTCGCCTCCCGACGCCAGCGCCACCACCAGCCATTTTCTCGCCCTCTCGGCTGGACCAGTCCCAGTCCTCTTCATTGAGTTGTCTGAGTCGTGTGCTTGTATGCAGAAGGTCAAGAAAATCCCCAAACACCGCTCTGAATCTCAAGACAGATGAAGCGCCAGAAATAGCTACCATTGACTGAACGCTCACTGTTTGCCAGGTACAGGGCCAGGGGCTTGGCGCATGTCACCCCACTTAACCTCATCACAGGCTATCAAGAAGGGTCCCGAGGGAAGAGGCACAGAGAGGTCAAGCAGTTGCCCAGTCACCCTGGCAGTGGTTCAGTGAGGGATCGAGCGGGTTCTCGGCCAGCATCCTGGCTTTGGGCGGGCTGTGAGCACCCTGAAAATGACTCTTGTCTGTTGTGCTAAGTTGTTTTTTGGGACTTAGAACCTTCCTAGAT